AAACCACGAATAAATATATACCATCTTTTAAAGTTAATAATTATAACTTATTGGGCTATTCATGCACTGGGAATACTGATAGGAAGTATTTTAGTAAGATGCCGAATTAAAAAACAAAACCCCCCCCCCCCCCAATCTATAGCATTCCTAATAGAATAGAAAATAGTACCTATTTTATTTTTATTTTATTTTGATTCAGATAATCAAAAAGGAAAAAAAATGTTCCTTTCTTGTTTATCTTTCTCCCCTCCCCACTAAATGAATAAATATTCTGTTACATCATTCTGTTGTTCTAAATGGGTACAATTCAAGATAATAACTAGTATTAAATTGAATGCAACTGTTAGAACTTTTATCTCCACCTTCAAGAACTGACTGGACTATATTAAAACCATACTAAAAAAGATCACTTACGTAATTTAACTAAAAGGCAAGAAAATCCCACAACTATAATAGTAAGCCATTGTAAGACTATGGAATATAACAGTTCAATTCACAATATGTGCTTTGACCCTGAGGATAGAGAAGACTCCACCTCCCCCGCCACCCCCAAAAACCCTGAATTCATGTACCTTGGTGCAAATTCATCAATGGTGAGACCAGCTTTAAGTCCAGTTCTGCAGTACTCCAAGCCATCAGCTATTGTATATGCTAACTCCAAAATGGCATCAGCTCCAGCCTCTTGCATATGGTATCCACTGATAGAAATAGAATTAAATTTTGGCATGTGCTGTAAGAAAATATGTATAAATTTGTTCTGTAACAAACACTGATCCTTATAGACATGATAACCACTTGGTAATTAAAGGAAACAAAACTAAACAATACCTTTGATGTATATTGGAAGATGTCAGCAATTATTTGCATTGATGGTTCTGGTGGGAAAATGTACGTATTTCGAACCATGAATTCCTTCAATATATCGTTTTGTATTGTCCCTGTCAGCTTGGATTGAGGCACTCCTTGTTCTTCCCCAGTAACTATGAATGTGGCTAAAATAGGAATTACTGCCCCATTCATTGTCATTGAAACAGACATTTTCTCCAAGGGAATTCCATCAAAAAGAATCTTAGTATCTTCTACTGTGTCAATGGCAACTCCAGCCATTCCAACATCACCCCGAACTCGAGGATTATCTGAGTCATAACCACGATGAGTTGCTAAATCAAATGCGACGGATAAACCCTGCTGACCAGCTTGAAAATGAAATTAATAATTTAGTAAAAATATAAAATATGACATATACAATTGTATCTTCATCTTTGTTAAATGGAATTTGACTGAAAGGGGGTATTCGTTGTTCAAAACAATACAGACCAAAGGAATCACATTAAAATTTAGGAAAGAATTCAGTGTTGCACAAGCAAACGTCTAATTACACAAGGCTTTCTTTCATCCTGCAGCCCCTCAATTTTCATCAAAGGACCCACAATCCTCCAACACTCAGTTATTCTGAGTAAGCACAGAGGGCTATTTGTTATTGCAGAGCTGCTCTTCCTGATTATATTCTTGTAAGCAATTTTATTAATGAAAGAAATCCATCCTAAATATTTAAATAGATTTCATATTATGTATTTACAGGACTGCAATTTATTTTTGAGTAGAGAAAATATTCAACACTTCTCAGTCTTTCTAATGAAATAAATTACATCTCTTCTGAGCAAGTACTTACAAAAATATAAAATGTAAACTGAGTGCTGTATATCGGGGTGTCAAACTCAATTGAGGGCTGCATCAGGGTTGTGTTTGACCTCGAGGGGCCGCATAGGCATGGCCAGCTCGAGGTCACTCATGTCTGGGGCACCTGTGATGGCTAGAGAAAATGGGCTACTGAGCTCCATTTTCGGCTGCAATGCCCTCCTGCAACCCTCTGCGATGCCCTCCTGCAACCCTCTGGCGGCCCTGCAGGCCAGATCTAAGCACACCACGAGCTGGATCCAGCCCCTGGGCCTTGAGTTTGACATCCCTGCTGTATATGATCATCCGAACAGGATGCTATTAGTTCCTAAGCAACTTATTTCTGATATGAATTACCTATACATATATGTAAATAAATTAATATAAGTAAATACAGTTACAACTGAGAGCCAATTTGATTTAGTGGTTAAAGACATTTGGCTAGCAATTGGGAGACCATAACTTTTAATCCTGCTTAGGCATGAAAGGTGACTTTGAGCCAGTTACTTTCAGCTCTTAAATAAAGGAGCAGAAACCCACTTCTACAAAGGTGGCCACGAAAACTGCAGGGATTCATCTAGAAGTCAAAACTGACTTACAGGTATAAAAATATATTGAAAATATCTGATTACAACCGCAACAGCATTGTCCTTAATGCCCAATCCCTAAGGAACACATCTCACCCTTGATGTTATCTTTATAAAACTTGTTGCTTTCCTCCACAGTACTGAAGCCAGCATATTGGCGGATGGTCCAAGGCCTGTATGTATACATGGTAGGATAAGGACCTCTTGTGAAGGGCTTTACTCCAGGTAATTCTTCAGGAAAGCCTGCTGTGTCACGTGTAGAATACAGTGGCTTGATGGCAATTCCCTCTGGAGTGTGCCATATCAACTCTTCAGGGCTTTTGCCCTTTAGCTGTTTTTTAGCCATTGCAGTCCATTCAGGATGGAGTACATGCTGATGCAGCAAACACCAACTTGGTTGGAGGGGAAACAGACTTGCTTCTCTCTTGCAACATAAGGGCCAATGACGCAGAAGTCCATTCTTGACCCGTAACATTTTCTACTAAAATAGTCGTGAAGATGTACCTGTATTCCAAGAGCTGGATAAAATTAATGAAGCAATTCGTTATTTTTAAGAAGGCCAAAGAGGGAGTATATCTTCCTTTTATATACCCCCATGTAAAACTAGATGCATCCGTTTTGTTTCATGAGAAGAACAAGTTGTGATTTACAGACTTCTGAGATTCTAATTTCAAATTAACTTTTACATTTGTTTTGCACAGACTGTCTCTTAACAGCTCAGAACCTAAGTGCAATTCAGTTGTAGCATGCCTACAAATAATCTTAAAGATTGGGAGCACAAAAGGACCAGGAAGGACCAGGATTGTTTAGAGCTATTAAGCAAGCTACTTGATATCTCCACCTATCAGAATATGGAGGGAACAAAGAATGAAATGAAAGCAGGCACTGTTTTTCTAACTGTTCACCTTAACAGGTGACCTCAGTAAAAATGCCATAGGGAAGAACAGCTATTAGGGTCACTGGGTGAGAGCAATATATACTAAATTAGTAATAAAACATCTATATAAACTTATGATGCCTTTTTAAAAAGGCATCACACTTTTGATCAAACATAAAAAAGTAAAATGTGTGAATCTTGAGTGTAAACTGTTACCTCACATTTTACAAGGCAAATGAGGAGATTTGGCGCTTAAGAGACTGGCATTCATCATATCTCCCAGTGCCCGACAGTAAACATGTATAGGCCTGCATTGTTTTGATTGTCTAACTATTATTTCCAAAACATTGTATGTATGCCCAAAGACACTTCCTTGCAAAAGAGGAAGACGGATTAAAAGTGGTGGTAGCTCCGCGATAGGAGAATATGTCAAAGTAAACTAACACCAAATCACAAGATGTGTTCACACGGCACACTGACCCATAGAAACGTATCTATAATTTCTAGAATTAGCCTAATTTTCTCGGGTACCGTGACACAATAAAGGAATCGCCGTACAATCTGGGTTCACGCCGCCCGCAAAACTTAAATTGGCCTAACTGGTTTGCGACTCCTTGTGTTAGGTTAAAAAAAAAACAATGGCTAACGCACCTCAACCACATCAATCAGCACTTGCGGCTGTCCAAACAATACCTATTAACCGACGCCACTACTTTTCACTGGCGAGGAAGATCGACTTCTTTGCGCAGGCGCCGTTGCGTTGAAAGCCCACCCAGACACGCAAGCGCAATTGTCCTTCCTTAACGCATGCGCACTAATATTTGCGGGAAAACCATGAGCGCCCGCAATTTTTGAATTTGCACGAACGGCCGATCTGGAGAGGGAGTAACCGTAGAAATAAAAACGGTGAGTTCTGCATTGTGGCAAAACTGGCATTTCAGTAGGGAGTTCGGGAAGAAGAAGAGCGCAGGCTTTCAGCTGCCGCGGATTACTTTTGTAGGATAAATTGCAATGTACGGTACTCCCGTGCGGCGTTTGAAAAGCGAATGGGTTTATTGGGGCATTGGAATATCGATGCTGGCATTAGGTAGGATAGCCTTATAGCCTAGTGGCGTTTTCAGCCGGGGAAATCGTATTCAAAGGACAGGTTTAAGTAGCGGTGTACTTCGTCATCTTTGGCTGAATAAAGCATAGGGATTTTTTAATTTTTTATTTGTTATGAAAATATATAAGTCGGCCACCTCGCCAAGAGTCAACTCTAGGCGACTTACAATAAGTAAAAGCAACAGAATAAAGCATTAAAATATTACAATAACAAATATTGACATTAAAATTAACTTTAAAATTGACAAAGATGGCGAGAAAGACTGCCAGCTGCCGAACCTCACCAGGTTCAAGGTTGATTCAGCCTTTCATCCTCCAGAGATGGGTAAAATGACTTAGATTGTTGGGAGCAATATGCTGACTCTGTAAACCGCTTAGGCAGAGCTGCAAAGCGCCGTGAAGCAGTATATGAATCTAAATACTTTTTTCTGGCTCTTCTCACTGAAGCTGTTCTCACATAAAAATGTGATTTTGAAGGCTGGAAGAGATTTGATTAGTTGTGCAAGTTTCCTAGTTAAAAAGCTGATGCAAAAGTATTGCCTGCATCCTGAGGATATAAACTGCAGGTGATATTATCTTTGATTATCAATCTTGCACAATCTGGTATTAAAAAAAATCCCAACTGATATATTGAATAGATGTTTAGAAAAAATAGAAATCAGCTGTAATGGTTTTACTCAATGCAGAAAATGTCTGTAAATTACTTAGAGTTGTAAAGCACTATGAAGTGATACATAAATCTAAATGCTTTTGCTATTAGCCACCTCCAGCAGCTCAATTGGGGGGGGGGGGGATTGGCAAGCCATTTCAGAATGTTGCCAAAGATAACCTGTTTACAAGGCTGCATAAGGCTCCAGTTTCTGGATCCCCAAAATGGCACCGAGGATCCTATTCCCCACTCCCCATTAATATCATTGGAAGTAACCAAGACAGGGAAATGAAATGCAAAACGTGCAGCCTAGGATAATTCTTGCTTCAATTTAGGGGCATTTGGCAGCAGAGATTCTACTGGAAATTGTTATAAGTAGACTGCTGCGACCTTCTGACAAACAGAGTCAATGGGCAAACCAGATTCACTTAGCAAGACTGTTACTAAACTGCAGTGATTCACTTAACAACTGTGGCAAGAAGGGTTGTAAAATGAGGCAAAATTCACTTAACAACTATTTCACTTTTTTATGTCATCTTTTTATATATGACTTAATAATACCTGCCTATTCTTTTTTTTCTGATATAGCTGCATGACTTTATTATGTTGATTTTTATCTAAAGGACTAGAATTTCATTCTAATACCCAGTCCTATATGTTTTCTCAGAAGAAATTGTCATTGATTTCAGCAAGATCAAAGGAGCAGGTGTAAAATTGTTGTTAAAATTCCGCTTTTACAATAATACCATTTTCTGAGCATAACATGTATTGGAAATATACAAGTATATTTTCAAGATACAACAAATATATGCAAAGTGTTGATTTTCTTTTCTTTTTTTCCTTCTTTGCATAAATAAGACCATTGGAAAAGCACTAGGCATTGTTTATAATTACTGTATGTATTATTGAAGTAGATTGGCCACTAGGAGGTATAGAAGCTCTACAGTGAACATGCTGAATAGTTATTATATAAAGGACTCAGTACGTTTGAAGTACCTATAAGTATCTATTTTTATATAGTTGGCTGAGCTATTGAAATCTTTATTGGACATAATGTAGTAAAACAAAAGCTGAAGGCATTGCATGAATATCAACTTTATATAGGGATTTCAGTTTTGATTACTGGTCTATATAAACAAAAATATAGCAAGACATGTTGCTATATGTCATCACATGCTCTTTTGCAATGAATTAACCTCAACATTTAATGAGTCCTTTGTACTAAATGTCCAGAAAAAATAATGAAAAATTTGTATTGTATTCCAGAAAATTATACGTTGCTGAGCAGTATCAAAAGATGAGAATAAGATGTATCAGCAACTATCATAGAAATATGTCCTAATATAAAGTAAATGCTGTTGATCATTATTGGGGCTTTACAATGATTTTGCAGTGTATTGTCACAAAAGAAGCATGGCACTTGGTCATTTGAGCCACATGCATTTCCCAAATGCTCAGCACAGCTTCTAGGATTTTTCAAATGAAGAATTGTTTTACTTTGCTGAAAATGTTATCTGTGTTGGGTTCAGCATGTGCATATAAGTGATATGGGAAAGACTGGAAACAGCTGGACCAAATCTTTCAGAGGACATGGTTGTTTGGGGGAGGATGCTTTTCTTGTACTGCATGGTTTGAAAAGTGCCCTTCAGATCCTTTGCACAGCTCTAATAATAATTTATGGTACTGCATAATTCTAAGTTTATCTAGTTAGAAGTATACCACAGTGAAATTATATGGCATTCAGGGAAATAAAATAAAATTCTATGGGTAAAGATGGTATTTGGTAAAGATAGGATTAGAGAGAACAAACGTTTTTAGACCCAGTATGAGAATGATGAGTGCAATGATTATCTTAGAAATAAGACATTGTGGAAAGTTATCACCCAGCCCTCTCCTAGAAAAATGAAATATCCTAGGAAATATTGAAATGGCAGATAATATTGGCCCTTTACCCAACTCACCACATGGCATCTGAGAACTCAACCAAACCTGGATTCAAAATACAGCCTAGAGAGTTGCCCCTGCATGGCCCCATGGGAGTCTGACAACCAATCAGAATACAAGCTCAAGACCAAAGGACAGAGAAGGCATAAAACCAGGGACTCAACATCTCAGGCCTTCCTTCTCTTTTTCTCCACCAACATTGAAGCATGTGATCACCTTTTCTGTTCAGGATTCAAGCCATGTGGTCCTGTCCACCATTAAACCATCTTTCCAAGCAGCCTCCATGTCTCCAGTGTCTTTTTCCCCACTTGGAACTGAACCCAGAAGGACATTTCTTTCAACAACATAAAATTCAAACATTTCATAAATACAACAGAACATGCTACTTATTTATAAAGGAAATTTATAAAGAATGGCAGAAGAAAGCTTCAAACAGAAGAAAGCCCTGCTATTTGGTAGGACTTCATTCCAATGAGTATACACAGGATTGATAAAGAACAAGATTGAGTGGGCATATTAAAATACATAAAAAGATTACCATAAGCTATCATGCAGGTTGATAAGCCAAGTTGTATAGAGCATACATTTAAAAAAACCTGTTGCCTGTTTTTAAAATATAAATGTCGTGTTTTTCGATAGCAAGAAATACTGCTAGCTTGGAAAATGGAAGAGGAAGAGGAAACAACGTTTCTTGACGGTATTATTTTACATTTCTTATCTATAAGAACCCTGAAAATGAATATCTAAGACATATTAGTATTTATAATGCGGTTGTTTCGATTTATTCTTGCCTCTTGACTGTCTTTACCCTGTCCCACAGAATTTGGGACAAAACTGGGGCAGTGATCGACAAAAGAAAATATTTGCCATGTTGACTTACAGACATTTCTAAAAATCTGTTTTCATTCTGTCTTTATGGGGTACTGAGTGTAGACTAATGAGGAAAAAAATGAATTTCAAAAATAGTAAAATCAGGCTGCAGCATAGCAAAATTGACAATAGTGAAGGGTCTGAATACTTTTTGAATGCACTGTATACATAGGTTGGACAATAAGAAGAAAATTCTCATACAAATACATTGTTATTTTAAAATCTCAGGGTCTTTTACATCAAATAACTAACTATATGAATTGAAAATAAGTAAACATACATAGCAAAATAAATTTAAAGTATGTCTCAAACTTCAAAGCAAATGATAGAAAATAATGTTAATTCTGTAAAAACATATTTGACAGAACAAGTTAAACTAACAAAACCAAAGAGTCTTGTGTTGTTTTTATTCTTGGGAGACTTAAACTTAACCTTCCAAACACATTAGGTAGTGTGCTCCCTTTCCTTGGTAATCCACAAAAGCTTTATGGAATTTTTTATTAATGATGCATACCTTTTTGAAGCTTTTTCTTTTATCACCCTATCAGAAATATAACTGAACACCTGATATAGTTATAAAACTATTATTGGAGCAAAAACCTATATAACAGTAATTCTCCATGTAGAAAATAATAATTTCAGTGCTGCTATCCAGCACTCCCTTCATTTATCAAGTTTTAAATGACAAATAGTTATTGAATTGCATGGTCTCACTCAACATTGAAATAAAATCTATATTTATTTATTTTGTAATATCTGTTATAAAATAAGATCTTGAGGATTTCTACAAGAATGTATCATGATTTTCTGGTACAGACATCATGTAACTGCACCTGACAAGTAGACACGTGAGCTGTCATTCAGCTCCACCGCACATGCATGCATGCCCCCCACCAGCCAACTGGTTGTTGAGTCTGCTGTGCATCCACGGAGTGTATGCGGGGGGAGTAGGGCACGTACATGAGAGCCGTGTGTGCATTGCATTTTGGGGGTTGGACACACGCTTTGGGCACTTGTTTCGGAAAAGGTTAGCTATCACTGTTCTATACTTTTTGTTGGTTGTTTCCTTAGGATTGTACTGCAAAAACGCTGATATAAAAATCTAACCAAATCCTAATATTTTGAGAACCAGTTCAGGATTTAGCCACATTGGTTTAAATTTATTTGTTGTAATTTCCCTAGTGTTTATAAAGGAAATCTTTTACTGAGTAAATACTGCAACATCTCACTTGAATTATATAACACTAAGTATTATAACACTAAGCATAGCAGTCTAACCAGATTTAGGTGAAAGTCTTCCACCATTCTTACTTTTTGCAGTTGAAACAGAATCTCCGGAAACAAAACCCAAGATAGTATCTTCAAAACAAAAAGTGAAATGCCAACGACTTCCAAAGAACATTAAAAAGAGTCTAGAATCCAAAATCCATTGGACAATAATGTAAGTACTCATCTCCTCCCTTTTAGGATCAATAAATCCAGTTGTCATTAATAATATCTTCTAAGTAAAAGAATTTAGGAAATTAAAAAAAAGATATTGATTTGATTATTAGCTGGATTTTTGCAATTCTGAATGGTTTCTTTAATTGCACAATAATTTTGATTGCACTGATTTCACCTAAATGGACACCTCTGAAATGCAGTTCTGGTATTTGCTGGATTTTTGGCAAAAACAAATGATGTCTTCACTTGCACAGTAGTTTCAGTTGCACAGAGTGCATGTAAACACACATCTGGAATAAAAAGGAATTGGTATTGATTGCTAGCTGAATGCTGGCACAATGGTTTCGGTTGCACTTCTAATTACATGTAAACAAATACATCTGGTGTTACATAACATCAACACATATAAATGCTAACAATTATACAGGAAATTTTCAAAAGCAGAAAGCAAGACACAAATCAATCCTGTTTTCACTGAGAATATCTTGGTGTGCAAATGATTTTGTGTCTGCTATTAACACTTTTTCCAGGCAAAGACATAAAAGCATCACATAATGTGCATATGGGTAAAAAATGTTAATATATTATCTGTCTTTACAGAGCTATTCTCTATGAAATTACACAAGATTACAATGAAACTGAAAAGCACTTGAATAACCTCAAGGAAAGGTAAAGAAAACACTTAAACAATAACAGCCCAAAACTCCTGCCAATGTTCATCCAATGTTAGGATAATATAAATGCTTTGAATTCAATAGGTTTTATCCTCAAAAAAGATTTAAAATAAGTTGTCTGCAGTTAGCAGTGTAATACAGGTATTCCTTGAGTTACGACAGTTCATTTAGTGATGATTTGAAATTACGATAACCGCCCCGCCCCCCCCAAAAAAGTACTTACGACCCAGTTCTGAAGTTATGTATGTTGCAGTACCACAGCAGCCATTCATCCTTCGACTGACCGCATTGACCCTGTAACATGCACCCTGCCTACGCCCCCCCATCCCACTCCCACTGGACCTGCTTTGCTAGCCTCCCTCCCCAGATTCCACTTGCTCCTCCTCATGTGTTTCTAATCGCTTGCTTACCTTTCGAAGAGCTCTAGAGCAGGCTAACTCATAAATGATCACCTTTTACTCTGATACTGGTGAAGCTGTAAGAATGTGAGATCTAAGGAAAACAGCTTCATCAGCTTCTGACTAAAAAACTTGGGTTTTCTGCCACAAAGCTAGCGTCCCTGCGAACCTTGTTTGGTCCCAGCCTGGGCAGTACCGCAGCAGCCTTCTGCTTGTAACTGGGTGGCTAGTTTGAATCAGCAGCTTCAGGGTTTGTTGCATGAAGGCAGCGGCAACTAATCAATGCAGCGCTTGTTTCCTTTGTCTCAGGCTGAACTGCAATCTCTGTCTCTTACTCAGATGCTGGTAAAGCTGTTTTCCTTAGATTTCACCTGTGCAGAAGCAGCTGGGCAGGATGCAGGGGGGCGAAGCAACTATGGCTACCCCAAGGGATCATGAGATATCTCAGTGGATGTGGGGGGAGGCTTTGGGTAGTTGGAAGCAGGTGGCCTGTTCCAGCACTAGGTCCCCCCATGGTCTTTCCCAGCCTGAGATACCTCATGTGCACTTAACAACCTGTGCATTAGATTAACGAATGCATTAGGGAAAGCAGGGAGTCCCAGATAAGGAACATGGGATAGATCCTGGGAGGCCACGCAAGAACATGCATGAATGGGGGAGGGCTTGGAGGGCTAGATACAACACGCAAGTTTTGGGAGCAAGTTGTAGCCGTGCAGAAAGGTTGGCGAGTAGATTTATGACCTTCCCGTCATTTTCCTCATTGACATTACTTGTGAGAAGCCAGCAGGAAGGATTGTAAAGCTCCATAATGTGACCATGGGGGGTGGGTTGCACGTCATAAATGTAAGTTGGTTGCCAAGTGCCTGAATCTCAATCACCATATGGGAGCTATGACATCTGGAACATTGCAATTAGCTATAAGTATAACTAGTAAGTTCTAAGTTCAGGGTCATCACAATTTTAAACAGTCACTGAACAAGTGGTCAGTAAGTGAGGACTACCTATATACATCAAGTAATACTACAAATATGGGTTTCTTTTCTTACATCATTAATAACCAAGTAATAGCAATCAAATTGAAATGGTGTTTCTGAAATTCCTCTGAATTCTAAATATGCTCAAGAAAGCCTGCACAAAAAACAGAGGGTAATTAGGACTTTGCATGTTATTTACACCAGTGGTAGTCAACCTGATCCCTACCGCCCATTAGTGGGCGTTCCAGCTTTCATGGTGGGTGGTGGGGGTTTGCTGTAACTCTGCTTTGTAAATTTTATAAAGTAAAGTTACTTCCCTACTTTATAAATCACAATTACTGTGGAACCTGTGGGCGGTCAGAAAATTTTACTACTAACAGAGATACAAAAGTGGGCGGTAGGTATAAAAAGGTTGACTACCCCTGATTTACACAGTGCTTCTTAATGTACCCTGAAACTATTAGTTATTTTTGGAGCAACTATGCCACATATTGGGTCAAGTTTAGCTTGTCACTGACTGTCTGGTATTAGATTTTTTATAAATTATTTCTTAATGTTTTTCCATGTTTATAGGAAAAATCATTAGAATGTCATTGGTTCCTGAATTTTAATATTTCTGCCTATAACATCTAGAATCAGAATTATTGCCAATTAGAACCTAATAAAACATTCAGCTTATTAAAAGATGAAAAGATAAAGAGAAGTAACATATTTATTTGAATTGGTATGTTAGTGCATATGTTGAAATGTTGAACATTCTAGTATGCAGCTATTCTCTTAAGCGTTTCCACTCTCTTAAGCAGGTGTAGGAAAATAAGGTATACAGGTAGTCTCAACCTATGACCAGAATTTCTATTGTTAAGCAAGGTGGTTGTTTAGTAAGTCATGCCAGATTTTACAAAAATTTTTTTGCCACAATTAACTGAATCACTGCAGTTTCTAAATGAATCATGGTCATTAAACAAATCCAGCTTCCCCTATTGAGTTTGTTTGTTTGAAGCTAGGTGGGAAGGTTGCAAGTGATCTGGAATGCTGCAACCATTTGTGCTGGTTGCCAAGTGCCTGAATTTTGATCATGTTACTAGGGATACTTAGAAGTGTGAGATTGTAAGTGTGAGGATTCGTAAGTCACTTTTTTCAATGTTGTAACTTCAAACAGATGCTAAACAAATGGTTATAAGATAAGAACTACTGTGTTTTTCAGAGTATAAGACGCAACTTTTTGTCCCCCAAAAGAAGGTGAATATCTGGGTGCATCTTATACACTGAATACAACATTTTTGGCCTCTTGAAAACGCATCCCACATACCCTGTTTTTTGCAAAAATTGACGCACAGAGGGTTTGGGAGGCCTGCAAAGTGGGTCTGGGGAGGGAAAAAAGAGTGAAAATTGGGCCAGTTTTTTTAAGAAAACAGGGCTGTTTTTGCCCTCCCCAGCCCCCAGGAGCACTCTACAAGCCTCCCACATCCTCTTCACAGACCATTTTTGCTAAAAACAGTCCCAGTTTTGCCTTCCCAAACCCCCACGTGTCGCATTTTTGCCTTCCCTGGCCCCCAGGAGTACTTTGCAGGCATCTCAAACTCTCTGCATGACCCTTTTTCACAAAAAACGGTGTGTGCAGAGGGTTTGGGAGGCCTGCAGAGTGCTTCTGGGGGCCGGGGAGGGCAAAACCTTTTTTTAAAAAAATTACCTCTTTAAAATCGTGGTGTGTCGTATACTCCGGTGCGTCTTTTAGCCTGAAAAATACGGTAGCTGCACTAATAAACAATCTATAAACCTGGCTAGGTAACTAATGGTATATGTGAATGACCTTGGGTGATTCACAAGGTGAAGAGCCACAGCCAGGGGAACAGTTGAATAAGAGGCAGCTAAGATGGTCATAGTAAACATTTCAAAAGGAACCATTCCTAGTTTCTTGAGCTGTGAAGGAGAAAAATGCTTTGAAACATACAAGGTTCTTTTAAAATAACCTTACAATAAAGAAAAATGAATTCATCTGGACATGTTTCCAATCTGAATTACTTTGTAAACCTGATAGTAACTTTTAAGCATATGTTATAAAGAATTTGTAATATTATAAGCTGCCCCCAAACACTTTTTGTGAGAATGGTGGATATTTAAATTTGCCAAATTACAAAGTTTTCTGAATTTTATGCAAATTGCTTCAGCAGGATAAATAACTTTTTCTATTTCTATATAATACAATATGTATTAAGGGACCTACCCCACCATCTCTTTGATATTCTTCTGTGATTGCCAATATGTGTGACTTTACTTTTTTTTAAAAAAAAATCAATTTCTTTCATTAAATAATATATTGAATTGCACAATGCTATTCTTAATTATAAGAAAATTCTAATCCTTGCATGGTCCATATAGGTATTTTCAGGGGAAAATGGCATATATTAGCTTAAGCCATAGCGTTTTCCCTTAGTTTTACTTTAAGTAGATGTTTGAACTAAATAAGTGTGGTCTGTAACTTACGGTTATATTGCTTTAACCCAGTAGAATACAGCTTTATCACTAAGGCAAAGGCCTACGTTATATGTTGACTTCAAACATTTATGTGTGCATACTGTCACTATCCAGATAAAGACATGTTGCACTAATTGATATATAGATAGCCCTTGACTAACAACTATAATTCAGCATGGTAATTATGATTATAAGTTGTGATGGTCATAAATCAGATCATCATATGACTGACCCAGTTTTTCCAGCAGTTATTAGATTGAACACCATGGCAGTTAAGCAAACTCATTGTTTGCTATGGGTGATTTTTGCTGGAAACTGGAAGGAAACACTTTTTTTGGCAAAAAAAAAAAAAAAGTAAATTGCAGTTACATCACTGAGGCCACAAATGGGGCTAGTTGCTGAACACCCAAAATGAGGTCACATGTCTGAGGGGGTGTCAAATTCTTGTTGGGAGGGGGCTGTTGTAACTTAAGCAATTGGTCATACTCAGTTTTGGACTTGACAGTTTTCTCTATGGGCCAAGTGCTTTACATTTCTTTTGTTGATGTCAAAGATCAGAGATGGTGGGAAGCAAATATATTACAAATTGAAGAACTTCATTGATCTTCAACAGGGAAACATTTTTAGCACAGTAATTTTAATGCTAGTATCAAGTTATCTCATTTGGTTTGATATTTTCATTGCATGATTTCATGTATTACAGATAACCATGATAGTATTAACATAAAATGATAATATTGTTTAACAATTTACTGAAGGCTTCTGAAATGTATTGCAACTTTGGAAGTTCCTGTGGATGAGCTGAATTATCTGAGCAATGTACAAAAGGTTCTAAAAGAAGAAAACAAAAAGTATATTTTAATGGAAGAAGGATTGCAGCATCTGGAGGTAAATAAGGAAGAGAAGATGGATTTTAAGAATTTATATAATACATTGTGTGAGTAAATAGTTAATATGATATCCTAAACTATGTTCCACAAATGAGATTTTCCCATAGCTGTGTTATACAAAATCAATGAACAATCTTGCCTGACTTTCATATATTATTATTACTACTCCAAGCATCTGTAACATGTCATAATAAATCTATTAATCTTCCATAAATGTCGTTGATACATAAAAAGGAATATCACATCATTATTGTAATTTTACAAGATTTATTCATGGTTTTTGATAAAAGACCTTTGAAGGATGATGTTATAACTAAGTTTGATATTTGGAATAACATAATGAAAAACAAGCCACATTGATCTTTTTCGATGTAGAAAAGGCTTTTGACAATATGCATTTGGCTTTTCTTAAATATTTGGAACTCATGAATTTTGGACAAAATTTTATGAAATGTGTGAAATTGATTTTACTTCACTGAAGACACAAATAGATATTAATGGAGATTTAACTAAATCATGTGAGCCACTATAAGCAACAGTAAAATGAAATTAAGAAAAGATTTGATGATAGAAGGATATACTTATCAATGTTTTTTTATATCAGAAAAGTTTAAAATGCATAAAAGGTTTTATGACCTTGAATGATGTAAGACTAATTTTGAATCAGAACTATGTACTAACAATGAACGTGTTATTGCTAAAATGTATGAACTTCTGTTTGAAATGTGAAACAGAAGAACAAGTGAAAGTATGTACAGTATGTTAAAACAGGTTAAAAAAATTTTTGATTACAAAATATAAATGAATCATTGGGAAAAATGTAGTTGAAAAAACTGCATTTACATTATCTTCTAATCTTAAAGACAAGGTTTATAAATGATGTATTATTGGTGCTTGTCATCAGAGAAATACTCTAGAATGTTTAACGGTACTTTAAATCTTTTTGGAAATGTGAATGACATGAAAGAACATTTTTATCATGTCCATTGGATGTGTAAAAAAGCCAAAAATGTTAACATACAAATATATTGTAATATTTTTACTGTGCACTTTAGATAATTGATTAGCAATACATTCATTTATTTCCTCTTGTGTGTTTGGATGGTCTGTAGTATACACCTATGGCAACGTCATTCTTTTTTTCTTTTACATTAACCTAAATGGATTCAAGAAGAGTTTTTTCCCCCTTCATTTCTGTAGAAGTGTAGTTATCTGTTACATACGATATAAACTCACCTCCTCTTTTGTCAGGTCTGTTTCTTTTGAACAATTTAAATCCTCCTAGCAGTACATTCAAATCATGGGTTTTATCTCACCAAAGTTTCAGTAATGACAACAATGTTATATCTGGCCTCATGTACTAGGAGGTCAAGTTCACCTTGTTTGTTCCTCATACTTTGAGCATTAGTAAATAGGCATCTGAGTTCTTTTTGACTGACTCTGCATTTGCTTCCTACATCACCTATTTCATATTTGAGTTTTCCTTTCTTCTCACCATGATTGAATGTCTTAAGGTTTATGCTTGGGATTAGGTTCTAAAGCTTGATCTCCCTCCTCTTCCAATTTTAGCTTTAAACCCTTTGGATAAGCCCAGCCAGATGTTTTTCAAACATGTTCTTCCTGGTTCTTGTGATGTGTAGCCCATTTCCTGCCAGAAGCCCTTCATTAAAGTAATGTAGATTGGTCTAGGAATACAAAGTTATCTAGACAGCACTATCCATTCAGCCAGTGATTTGCTTCTAAATTCTCTGTGCCCTCATTGGGTTTAAATGCAGGTTTTTATTTCTTTATTCATTTGATCTTTTGTGGTTAATGCTGAAATATTCAAGGTTGCACTATTTCACCTGACATGTTCCATGCTGTCTTTCCACCATTCTCAGCTGTTGCACTGTTAAGTCTTTCTGCCATTCCGTTCCAACGCCTTTCTGTTCTGACACCATGCCTTCTCCCACTTCACCTTTCTTCTGTTTCTTTAACTTTCTTTATTTTTATCTTATATACATGTTAACTTTTCCTACCTTTTCTTCATCTTCTCTACACTAAGTTTCTTGTTGCACCCAATGCCGTGCTGCTGCTGCCCTTGAAAAACATATTGTGTCATTTGCATCTCCTGCTGCCACTGGTTGCACTTGCCAGTTGTGCCTGCATTCTTGTTCGCCGGTTGCACTCGCCAGATGCATCTGCTACCAATGCTGCTCAGTAAGCATCCCGTTGCCTAGTTGCGACTACTGTTGCACTGGTCACACTCATAGTTACGCCTGCCAGCTCAGCAGTAGATGTGGCTGCTCACTGATTGCGGCTGCTACTGCTAATTGCCTCATCGGCATTGCTTTGCTTTCCTCCCATACCCCTCCTTTTCTTCTCCTGTCCTTCTCTTCCTGTTCCTCTCTTTCTCCTTCCTTTACTTCAAATTTAACTGTTTGAACTTTAGTTCATCTCCTCCACCCCTTTCCCTCATGATGGAGCATCTTCCTCAATTATTAGTGCACATGTTTTTAAAGGCTAAAGTGTAATTAAAACCACAGGCTTCTGTTTTGGGACTAATGGATAAGCAACTGGAAACATAGTTGACTTCACTTCCTTGAAAGACAATACTTACATTTCTAGAAGAATTTTTTAAAGCTTTTGATAAAGTTTATATAAAAAATGTTGCATAGTTCCTCCTTCTCAAAGTAGAATAGAAAACTAAATTTTGAAACCCAAGGTGCTGCATATGTGAATCCTTAAATGACTTTTTTTATTCTAGTTTACAAATTATAACTTGTAAATTATAACTTGTAGCATAATTACAAATTATATATTAATATTTCTAATATCTATTTAACAGGAAAAATTTTCAATACATTCCATGTAATGAGAGAAGAAATATATTATATAAACTTTATGACTTATATAAAATTTGTCTTAATTCTAACACAAATACAGTATATCGTTACTTTAAATACATTTATTGTCATCCTCTTTCATTTTAACCATAGGAAGAAATAACCAAAGATGTCTCAACATTACATACAGTGGATGAAAAAATGCAAATACTTCAAAAGAAAATAAAAGCATTAAAACATGAGCTGGCAGCATTAGAAACAGAAGCAGATCAGGTATTTGGGAGCCAGTGCTGGATTTATTTTTGGGCAGTAAGAATTATACAAGACTTACTTTTTTCTTGACAAAGCAATTTGAGAAATGAAAATACAGTCTCTTTTTTCCAGAAGCAGATACAGGTAGTCTTCAATTTACAAGCAGTTGTTTAGTGACTGATGTTACATCAGCCTTGGAATAGTTCTTTATGGCTCTTCAAGTTATTCCAGCCATTGTAAAATGTTGTGTATTGGCTGCTTGGCAACCAGTTCACATTTATGACTGATTGCAGCATCCCACAGTCACATGACCACAATTTGCAATACAGGTAGTCCTTGACTTACATTTAGTGACCATTCAAAGTTACAATGGCACCGAAAAGAACAACTTAGAATTGTTTTTCACATTTACGGCCATTGCAGCATCCCCATGATCACATAATCTAAATTTGGACACTGTATTTATGATGGTTGCAGCATCTTGGGGGTCTTGTGATCACCTTTTGTTACCTTCTGACAAGCAGAAGTCAATGGGGAAGCCAGATTCACTTAACCATATTACTAACTTAACAACTTCAGTGATTCATTTAACAATTATAGCAAGATATGTAAAATGGAGCAAAATTCATGTAACAGCTGTTCTTGATTAGCAATGGAAATTTTGGACACAATTGTGGTTGTAAATCAAGGACTACCTATTTTTTTTGTTAGTTTCCTGCACCCATTTGGGAGAATGTATTCAGGTAACAGTGTGATTCACTTAATGATTGCCATTAACATGATTATAAAATTGAGTTTGGTCATGTGGGTACCTTGATTTAACATTTTTTTTCCAGTCCCAATTGACTATCTTTATGGGGAAAGAATTAAACATTTGGTGTTCTATATCAACATTAATTGTTTTCTCCGTTCTTTCCAGTTATTTCATAGAGATACTAAACATGACCTAGGTCTTCCTGGTCTTTCAGTGGAATATTTCAAACTACCTACTCTTCAGGTGAGTAATGGCAGTATGTTTCAAGTCGCTTGTCTTGAACGTATGCCATTGATTGAATAAAAAATATTCCATTCATTTTAATTTCATTTTGTACTGTTACACTTTCTATTTTATAGAATGAGATTTTGAAGATTGGAAACCCACACGCTCTTCTTGATGACATGAATATCATTCAGCAATCAGATGAGATGAAGAATATGATGGGATTTCTAGAACAATTATATGAAAAGGCAGACCATCGATGTACAGAAGAACAATGAAGTAGCCTATATCTTTAGTTCCTTTCGTCTTCCAAGGAAATATTTGAAAGAAATAGTTTCCCTAACATGATTTGCATTCTGCAATTCTCCAGTGACATTGTGAAAATTTTGGATGTAATTAAGAAAATATAATCTATGATTTTATTCGGGTAAAGATATCAAGAGATAGACTTTTCACTAACAAGCTAATCCCATTCTTTTGACTAACTACCATTAAGATTTGATGCAAAACTCTTCATGTTGACAAAATAATTTTTTAAAAGCCTTTGGGACTAGTATTCCACATAAGGCTACATACTACTATGTAGTACGAAACAGATTTTTTTTCCTGTTTTGGGGTTGTAGTTTCTTTTTGAATATGCTAGTGTAATTTAGCTGCAAGGAGATCTGATGCTTGAGAAACGTACAAATGCAGATAACAACATTTAATTACTTCATTGGCAAGCTGATTTCAGCATAAACAAGTTTTCACTAGAGACTTACGGCTCAGTTAAACTCTGAGCTAATGAGCAACAAGTTTCTGGCTCTGAAAAATCAAAGAGTAGCAGTTTATTTTTCCCCTGGAACTGGATATTTGTCATCTGCAAATTTTTGTGGATGTGGGTAAAGAATATAAGCTGCTTACTTAGGAGGCTAATGCTCCAGGATTCTTAAATATGTTTTTTTTCTTTCACTCTTTCTTTCACCTGTAGTTGCAGAGTATTATACAGCAGGTTAAGGTATCTTTCTTTACTTGGAATTGTATCTGAGAAAAAGAGAATGAGAGTCAAAACAACACTATGCTCAACCAGCATTATTATTTTTTGGGAACCTATAATACTTCAATTTCCAGATCTTAAATGGAAAAAGCAGTTGCTTCTTCCATTTTTGTCTTTAGAAATAGGTCTAGGGGGGAAAGGTGGTATTAGTTTCAAGAAAGATTAATCATTATGTCATTCTTTTAAACTGTTGTTGAATGAGTTGCTCACTTGGCCACCAAAGGTAAGTCTTTACTCCTTCCAGATGGTGATGGGAGAAAATCTTTAAAATGGACTGGGCTTATTGTGTTGTTCTCTCTTTAGATATCAGGCAATATCATTAGTTGCTTCAGTTGTATCCCAGTTAATACTGAACATTAAGATATCCAATCACATCTAATGAAAATGTTAATTTTATTTTTATATTTAAAAAGATCAATCTTGTATATAATCAAGCAATAGACCTGCTATTGGCTGTTGCCTGTCCTTTGAAGTATAATTGGTTCTCATGGATATTGAAATTAATACTTAAAAGTAGGAGAAGCCTAAATTTGAACTATTTTAATTATAGAGTATCATTCTTCACTCAGATTACCATTGAAAGAAAATAATACCTGATTCTCCTTGGATTTAAGAACAAGATTAGGGGATAATTCTCTTTCTCAGGGTTGTATTTCTCTCTGTTAATTTTTAAGGGATATTCACTTTTGGAAAATAAGACAAATTTCTGTAGTTATCACCTTGGCCTAGATATCCTTTTTCCTTTTTTTGAGAGAGTTGTATATATTAAAAATAAACATGCTTTTTTGATATAGCCCTAAAGAATACTGTGTTGTCAGTGAGGTAAAGAGCCGAGGTGGCACCGTGGTTAGAGTGCATTACTGCAAGCCAGCTGCAGTTTGGCAATTCAAATCTCACCGGCTCAAGGTTGTCTCAACCTTCCATCCTTCCGAGGTGGGTAAAATGAGAACCCAGATTGTTGGGGCAATACACTGACTCTGTAAACTGCTTAAAGAGGGCTGTAAAGCACTGCGAAGCAGTATATAAGTCTAAGTGCTATTGCTATATTTTTATAATTTATTTACATGTTTCTATGAGGAAAACCTACAGTAGTCTGGTTCCCAGAGGTAAAATTTTATGTATGGTTATAAGGGACATCAGAAGTTTAAGTAAAGGAGGCATGTTTGAGAGACAGATTTTAGCTAAAATGTAAATAAATAAAATATTACAAATCTACATTTTCTATAATAGAATATTGTATTTTAATTTTCAGTCTGTGTGATATGTTTGTATTCGGCAATGATTTTATAGCTTTCTGGGATAAAGATTTAAATCACTAGTATATAGACATGTAAATTGTCAAGGACAATTTGGCTGTAGCAGCTGTCTACAAAAAACAAAATAATATTGCCGTAAACTAATAAAAAAGGTGTTTACTACCTAATAGGAAACGTTGTACTGCTTTTTAAAATGTCAATTTAGCTTAAACACAAAAGTTTTAAGTATAAAAATTTTCTATAGACATAAAATTACTTTAGATTGACCACAACAATCGTCCTATATTCCAAAATAAATGATTCTAGAAACAATTACCTATATTTCTGTAGGATACATTTTTACAGGTGTTTTATGAGTTTTTCTTTGAAGTTTCTTTTCCCTTTTCAACCACTCTATAAGAGAAATATATGTGACCCTTGTTTCTTTTCTTTGGTCCATACATCACTTCAGGATCATTCTGCTGAAATCTGAGGCACAATGAATTATATGCGGATGGGGGTGGCTTAAGGCAGTGTTTTTCAACCTTTTTTGTGCAAAGGCACACTTTTTTCATGAAAAAA